GGGTTGGCCACCTCTCTGTTTACGCCACTCTGAGTTGGGCATGGAAAACAGCGCTCTTTTCGGCTAACGATGGTTTGGCATACGCAACACATATCCTAACCAACACAGCTTCTGTGGATGAACACATTCTTCAATGGAAGCACCCGTTACACAACCCAAAACGCGCTTTCTAACTGCCTCATTACGGATTTGCCGACACCAACCCACACGAGCTAAGGTTCTGAGACAACCATTGTCGAACTCCTGAAGACGTCTCAGTTCCGCTGCTCGAATAGGCCAAGTCTCACACCCATACAACAAAACAGCCCGTAGTGTAGCTTGATACACACGTCCTTTGAGATTCAGGGATAAACCACTCTGACCCCATAGGTGTCTCGAATTAGCAAACGCGGTCCGTGCCTTGCAGATTCGTGCATTCACCTCATCTGTCACAAGACAATCAGAAGTAATACAACTTCCAAGATACGTAAAATGCTCTACAACTTCCAGTACCTCTTTCTGGATTGCACGTGGGTAACTAACCTGGCCGACATGAATTGTCTCATTATTGTGGGATAATGTGGAGCGTATCATTTGGGTTGTTTTATAGTTTGCCCATGCTACATCAGTACAACTTCCAGTACCTCTTTCTGGATTGCAAGTGGCTTGGTAACCTGGCCGACATGAATTGTCTCATTATTGTGGGATAATGTGGAGCGTATCATTTGGGTTGTTTTATAGTTTGCCCATATCAGCTACATCAGATGCTGGCGAGCTTCAATGATGGTTTTTGGCTAACCACTTTTCTCCCTCATCCTTGCAAAGCGGGGCAGCAGACCTGTGGAGGACATGTAGGGTCGACAGACAAAATCCATTTTGCAGACCTCCCCCGACCCCGTATATAACTTTCTACCACATCAGTTTCCCTTAACTGTGATGAACGTTCATCCAGGTAGCAAGACAGAAGTGATACACCTGTGTGATAAGACTGTTGGTAGTTGAGCTCAAATAGTTCAACGAAGAGCCAGTCTTCAGCGGGATTGTTACTGTCAATGATAAAATATGAAGGTTCTTGTTTCATGCTAACACGTTTGACAGTCTTGGTTTCCTTAAGTTTTGCACTGCTTAATTCAGTTCCACTACCACAGATCACTCACTTAAGTGCTATCACCTCTTAAGGTCCAGATGTGACCCTTCTCCCCCGAAGGGATCACCCGCTGAAGTGTTGTACTTCGTAATGGATAATGCAGTCGTGTTTGTGGCTTCTTTCACGAATTCACAACCAACATTCCTATTGTTCCAGTCAGCTTGCGTGATTCACGAGAAAAAGACTCGGATCGGCCAGTCACTATGATGAACATTAGGTATTAAGCTGACTCATCAACAGAGAAAACTGCGTTAAAGGTGCCTACCATTCAGGTATTGTAAAACACAACTGCGCACCATTCGGTCGTTCAAACGTGTAGATGTTGCGCAATTGAAGTGATGCTCAAGCAAACAACCTCAGAGAACTTCTTTGTTGTCTGTCTGTAGCATTGACATCAACAACCTTGGGAAAACGCAAATGCCACTGAAAAGTTAAAAATGAGCGAGGCATTTCTGACTGAGATATTATCATCTTCCTGGAGAATCGAGAAAGAACGGGAAATATCGGCCTCTGTCCGTACTCCATCCAGTCCAATTTTATTCAAAAAATGAACACCACAGTGGTGAACGTCCACCTAACCGCGAGCTCACTGAAAATCTCTTCACTATTCCTCAAAAGTGAACAAAACCAAACGCTATTGGGAATATGGTAGAAAGACGTGGGTAAATCATTCCTTGTGCATGAGAAACGCACTTTGTGAATTGTTGGTACGAAACCTGTGTTTAATGTTCTTACGGATGGGCAGTATTGGTCTCGCTTGAGGTTAGTTCTTTTCTGAAAACGAAATCAGTGGTGAACTGGTTTAAAAAACAGCAAAATGTCTACTGTCCACACCTTGCGGAGTGTTTTTCAGGTGGAGGTTTGAAATCTGCTTCAGAATCAATGAGATCTGCGCCAGAAAATTTTTATAAATCGGTTTGAATAGGTCTGTGGTTAGAAACCAAGAAATGAATACACACATGAACCATTATACGGCTACTGGAGTCTGTCTGCTTGTCACCACGTCATTCAGTGCTCGATTGAACGTGATTAGCGGCTTGGTCGAATCATCAACACCGATTGTCATTATGAATTTAACGTAGTAAAAAATCAATCGACTGTGTGCACCTGAGTACAGATACGATCGGCCACTGTAGGTTTGTTGTTGCTTTTAGACAGGCCTAGTAACCGTTCTGAACTGACTCTTGGTCAATTTGTCCTTTAGTTTGCGAACTCTCACACCCTTCTCAATTACGTATATTTCAAGATCCTGAACGTTTTGTGATGAAAACCAAATGTAAGGGACCATTTCGTTGTTTCGAGAAATGGTCATAACCAAGAAGATGAAAGACATGGCGAATGGGTGAATGGTTATGTAGACAAATCACAGTTCTAAAGCACATAAGATTGAATAGAACTTTCCGACAGCCGATCACAGGTTATATTCTCTTTTGGGCCGCCAGTTAAATGGATGTAGCTGAACGATTAAGGCGCAAAACCACTGATCAGTAAGTATATCTATGGTTTGGTTGCTCTTGTCGAGGTTATGGCAATCTAACGGCGTTTTCAGCCTTCGTGCTTCCTTCAAGTTGCACAGCAGTTATTCACCAAAAAGGCATTACAGATGAATGATCACTATTTCTTAGTTAGACGTAGTACCTGAGTTTCAGTCCATGTTAGATGTGCTAGTGACTAACATGTGGCGTTTAATGAATGTTGATCGTGTGACTGTTTATCTGATCGCCGAGCTTGGCAACTAACTTGCAGACGTTTCGTCACCAAGTGAGGTGACATCATCGTGATGATGCCATTATGGTGGGCTGGGTTATTTGTCAAATTGTGCGCATTTGGGTGGGTTGGTCTAAACTCGGCGAACTGATCAACAATCAAACAACACACCTGAGATATTGCTATGCAGTGTTCAAGCTCTTAGGGATATCAAGTTGGTTTGTAGGAGACGGATGATCAATAAATCAAAGCAGTACCCTGACAGCTGACGACAAGAACACTGGACTGGTTATACAGGCGGTATTGAATGAATAATGATGGACATCATCGAATATTCGAAAAGCGACTGTCCCCGTAAATGTATATGTCAGTTCGTTCAACAGTGTTCCTGAAGGTACACTGCTTACAAAAAGAGGGCTAAATAAACACGTCTCGGATTTTTGTGCATGAAGAGAAGTGGAACGCCTCAAGATTACCTCCAGGGTGAGTACATTCTGGTCAGGCTTAATGAAATACACCTTCTGTGCACTGCTATCCGGTACCAAAAAACCACAAGCCTGGTTGTTCAGGTAGGCTGACCCTAACCCTTCCCGTTGGTTCTGCGTCAGCAACGTCAGAGTTACTACTCAATTAATACGAGGGATTACTTTAAAGCAAACGCTTTCATGATGGCTTTCATGGTCGGCCGTTAGAGACATCCCTTCTGGAAAGCGGGAAAGCCTATACATGCATAAAATTTGTCAGAGTTCGATCAGACCAATTTTCAGATGAAGGACCACACTTCACTTCCTTGTTTCATGGTCCGATAGTTGAACTGAACCTTATCATCTCAGTCAGAATTACAAGAGTTTGCTGCTATGAGTTTCTGAGGCATACAAAGTAAAACATTTCCAGTGAGAATAAATTTATTGGAAGCAGGTGTACAGTCATGGAGAATATATGTTACGGCGTTCCTATATGTCTCACACTACCCTTTACTACCCTCCTGTATCCGACTACAGGACAATCTGGCTTATTAGAGTTGTATATAACCGTTCCAAACAGATTTTGCTTGAAAATGTCAACTGCTGAACAAACCCTTAGTCTTGGACAAGATGACTTTTGGGAGAGCACCATAAAAATCTCCAAAAACGATTTAGCGTCCCACGTGAGCGAATCCCCCTTCGGGGGTGGGCTAGGATGTGTCGTGCTGAAACAATTTTTTTATGCTGTTGAATAATGGCTATGCGTATTGCAGGTAATTTTTTTCTCAATGTGGTTAGAGGTTTGAAAACAGAATTTTTATCCGGAACGGAGTGGCCCAATCAATAAATTGGGAAAGATTGTTCAGACAATGTTTCAAGAGAAAACCTCAGGTTAATCCCGTCAAAATGTGGCGTACAAAATACCTCACTTAAAGCTTTTGCATGATTTTTCACTTGTTCTCAACAGTTTGTCCGATCTACTCCCGGTAGAGCAAACGCTTCACAAGATGAGTTCAGACAATGCGTACTCAGACTTCAGTAAGTTAGCCAAGAGGTAACGATCAAGAGTCCCGTTAGAACCGGAAGATCAATTTCCTTGCACTTCGGTCGATTACATCGTCTCTGTTGAGGGAATACAGAACTAATTTCGTTGGTTTACTGGTTGCAGCCTCTTCGGATATCAGCGAATAAAAATCACCAAATAGGACACAACCGAAACTCCCGAAAAAAGGTATCAAAACTCATCAGAAAGTCAGTATTCACACTTTTAAAGTAAAAAAACCTAAGGAGGTTACACAGGGGCATACTTTGATAGCCTTGATGCTGTAGGTCTGTCAATGGAAAGCAAGAATTAAGATAGTTTTACTAATGGATCACTCACTCTCACCATCACAGTGTTCTGTTAAGCAAAGTGAATAGAATTCTGCCTGAAGAGGTACGGTAATGCAATGAACTATTAACTTACCTTTTAATAGACGGCGACTAAACCAGCAAAACACGGCTGGTGAGAAGCTCACCGAAGTTTATTGTCTGACATCACTCAGCCCAGATTACTGGATATTTCGGAGGAGGTGTACTGGAAACGTCCTAGTTTTTGGGTCTTTCTTTGATGGAAGACCATTCATCTGCACCCATAGTTCTAAAAAAACATATATGAAAGGAACAAGTGCTATCTTTCAGAAATTATTAAGTTATTGAGTAATGCTTATCCTTTTGCTGCCAGAACAGTAAAGTAGCAGCGTCATGTAAATATTTGTAATGTACTACTTATAAGGTTGATGAAAATCCGTCGAAAAAAACCAATTTGCAAATGAGTGTATATTCGCTAGCAGCGTCAGTTTACAGTTGAAATTGTCCTGTGGATATTCTACTGTCAGCAGCTGGATCCTCCCCTTTCCACTCAGTGTTTTGGTCTGGCTTAGCGTTGCGCCTTTCGCATACAGAAAAACATGGATGGCGAGTTGCACAAATCTACACATTACATTAGTGTTAATCAGAGACTAATCGGATTGCTTCACTTATGCCTTCCTTCAGTTGAGTCTCACTTTAACACCAAGTTCACTTGCAAATGAGTGTATTTGGACATTCACGTGGTACTTAGCTCTCATGAGGAACCCGAGAAGGATGGAAACTCTGGTTGCTGAAGTTTTAACTTGACCTTATTTTGAAGAATCCACTTTCACTGATAATAACTGTACCATTCGTCAACTATTGGTTTGTTTCATGCGTCTTCTCTCTAATTACCCTTTGGGTTTCTTAAATAAGAACTAAAATGG